AATAAACTCATTAATGGTCTGAAAAAAATACTTAGAAACTAAAATGAACAAAATGTTCATTGGCCTTGGTTTGCATTTAAATCCTTGAAATTCCTTTACTTTCATTGTGAAAGAAATCTTACAGGTTGATTAGACTCAATGTTACTAAAATAATTTGCCGGGTAACTAGCTAGTTTTTCAGTTACGCTTTGTAAACTTGGTCTGAGGCATTTTTAAAGTTACATTTCATAGACTCTGCATCTTTTCCAAACTTTGCTGGAAACCTGTTTCTTTCAAAGCTTCTGTGTTAGCTTTGAATACTGTGCAATGAATTGCAAGGAGAACTGAGCTGACAACACTTCCTAGGTCCTTGCAGCTCTCTGATAACTAATTCATCTTTTATATAATGATTAGTTAATGAACCACTTCAACTTTCCTGATTAGGATTTTTGTTTTCTTCCTTTCAGTACCACTGTGATCCAAAATGTGAACAAAGCGCAAGTCAAGATCAGAGCTAAAAAAGACAATGTAGCAGGTGACTCCTTTCCAGGCCATGAGTGCTTCAGCTCATAAGGGAAGTGTGGGAGGAGACTTGGAAATAGGCAGGAATGTGACCAAACACTGTCTCCCTTTTTTCTTACTTATCTATCTGTATGAACACTTATAATTTGTTGCTTTTTTTTCACATACAGCTTATTAATTTTATATTTGGTTACTTACCTTTCATAAAAGAAAATGAATGTGTGTAAACTGCAGTCCAATTTCTGAGTTTTTGGACAAAGTATAAGTTCCATAGAGCTTTACTGGAAAACAGATTAGGAGTTAAGCCCCAACGTTAAATAAATTTCCAGCAATTGTCTATCCACAAAATTGTCTATGAAGAAAGCAAGACAGATAAATCAGGATTGAATGATTAAAATACTCCTTAAGCAAAGGGAATATATTACTAAACATAATAAAATGGAAAAAAACAGAATACTTCCCTGAATTATTCATGGGTCCTGATCTCTGCAAACTCAACATAATTCTGAAGTTCCATATTATATGTCAGAACCAGCATGACTTAATCATTCCAAGCTGTGTAGGAATATTTTGTAAACAAAGCTTCTGCCATTACATAATCAGAAGCAAATGGGGTAAAAGTGAGCTGTACTTCATAAATCTGTAACCCTTTATGTCCCTTACATGCATTTTTCTTCACTCTTGTCAGGTGTAACCTTGCCAGTTTTTGAGCATTACCAGGAAGGAGGGGACAGTAAGTACAACCCTGTCTTTATGTACTTATAGCTATTCCATGCTCACACAGAAATATTGTCATGTCTTAATGGTAAGTCAGTTTACATCACAGGCCTAGGGTTACTTACTTCCTTTGATGTTTCGCCTGCTCCTGTGACATGGAGGGATTATTAGGAACTTCTGATAGATTCTACTTTGCAAAACCAGTGAGTGTTTCAGGTGAGGAGAAGACTTGTATTTCCATAGTTTGAGACTTCTAAGTGTTACTAGAGACACGCACAACATAAACCACTATGAAGACAATTTGTTCATGGGCAAAGGCTTTAGCTTCTCACTTGATAAGCTCTTTATATCCCTATAGTGTGTAAAGTATAATTTTTATCTAGTAAGGAAACACTATAATATCAATAGTAACAATGTGGGGTTTTTTTTCAGGCTATGAGCTGACTGGCTTGGCCAGAGGTGGAGAACAGCTGGCTAAGCTGAAGAGGAACTATGCCAAAGCTGTGGAGCTGCTTGTGGAACTGGCCTCGTTACAGGTTCGTGAGAGTTAGAAAAGAGCAGGATCGTTGGTTTGTCCCTTTTCTAAAACGAAAGTATCTCTCAGTAGCTGTAGCTTAATCTAGTCCCAGTGCTGTACAAAGATGCAAACCTTTTTTAGCCATATTGTTGCTTCAGAGAGATCCTTATTCTTTAATACTCCGAAGAAACTCTTTGGGAGAGTTGGTATTTGTAACTGCTAATGTGCAGCATTCAGTGTGCTAGTGACATTAGTAGAAAACATTCTGCTTCTATCAAGGACATAGTTTGTAAAGGTACATTATAGACTTGGCTTTCAAGTGCTCTTTGGTTTTATGTACAGAATTGATGGAAATGTTAAATTGGTCTTGTTATGTATTAACTATTTAATCCCATTCTATCAGACATCCTTTATTACTTTGGATGAAGCCATTAAAATAACAAACAGACGTGTGAATGCAATTGAACATGGTGAGTATTTTTCCATTTGGGATGCATAACATTTTTCTGTCTCTATGCAAGATGAGGAACAGGGTCAAGGAAGCCATTCTTTCTTGTTAGCATTTCTCACCAGTTCAAGAATGCTTTCTAAAAAGCATTACAATTACACATATTGCAAGAAAGAAAAAAATTAAAAGCCCAGGGGGATGGACTGGAGGACACAGAGATAAATTAATAGGCAAACATGAGAAAGTAATCAGGAAATTGTATTAAGAACCTACAGGACCAAAGTTTTACAAACATTCTGCAGTCCCTGCTAGTGACTTCAACTTAACTGGTGAAGCCTGTTGGCTAGAAGCAAAAGATAGGATGTTTCTATGTGTTAAAATGTTCCAATAGCTAGCATAATAAACTTCAAACAACTAAAATATATTTAACTTTAAATCACTCTAATGAACTTTAAAACTGTAATGGTGGTGCCCAGTGGAGAGGCTGGTGACATCCTTGTTTTGGATGCAACAGTCCTTATGTCAATAACCTGGTATTTTTCTTTGACCTGAATTCTTTGTTCTTCATATTCTTGTTTGTAAATTTGTTTCTTGCCACTTCTTAAGTACTGCTGCAATCCTAACATTGGCTGTGATTCCTTTTGCTGCACTGTCCAGAGTGCTTTGACTGTTTCAAGTTGCTTTCTGAGTTTTGATGTCCTGGAGTTAATAATTTTTGCATGTACACAGTAGTGTATTTCAGTCCATGTTTTCAAATCATCCTTTTCAGCAGTTTTTCATAGCTTGGTTTCTTTGGACATACAGGCCTTAACTGCAGCTTATCAGTGAGAATATGACTTAGAAAAGGTTTCCTCTGCAGCTTTCCAAATAATTTTGGTAGTGCTGGTACAGGTTTCTTCTTTCAACAAATGATTCTGACACAGAGCTTGTGCAGTTTGGTGTTAAAACACACAGAGCTTGTGCAGTTTGCTGTTAAAACTGTTTAGTGTCTTGTCTTTTGTTTTGTGATTGTGTTGTATTTGAATATTTCTTTTCATGATGGCCTTTTTAAACTGATAATTCTGAGTCAAGGTGCTATACTGAAGTTTCTGAAACAATGTGATGGAAGAACATAGTTTTAATTCAAGTTTATTTGCCTGCTTGTCAGGACTTTTTTATATTTTGTATACTTGTCCAGCAGTAAATAATATGATCTTCCATGAAAGACATAGATTTCCCCCAGCCAAAAGAATTACTAGATTGACTTCAAACAACATCTGTGCAATACATTAGACACCTTCCTGGCTAATATAACAGCAGTTCCAACTTCCTTATATTTTTTTAGTGATTATTCCCAGGATCGAGCGTACTCTCTCTTATATCATCACAGAACTGGATGAACGAGAACGAGAGGAATTCTACAGGTAAAAGACTAGTCAAAAGACTAGACTGGTCTCTTCCTAACATAGACCATTCCTCAGAAGAGTTATGAGAACTGTTCACCAAATCTAGAAGCAAACATTGTTAAACATGACCTCATTCTTACTGCACATATAGTTTCCAGAGCTAGGCACTCACCAATTACTTGTCTGAAAGTTATAAATGAATCCCTTCCATTAATTTGTACATAGCTGTCATTGTTCTTCCAGAGGGAATGATGTGATACAGTACCCTGAGGTGTTCTGCTTTAACAACACCTTTGCCAGCACAGTCAATGATCTGGGCCACCTGAAACAAAAATGTCAAACCTGAAATGAATGAAAGAGGAATGAACTTGATTAAATACAAGCAGAACAGTATAATGCAGTATTTAGGGTCAAGAATGTAGTTTGTAGCTTTATCAAGTCCAAGCTGTATGGCATAGCTACTAACCTGTTGTATGAAAACATATTTGCTTCACAGATAAAGCTGCATTTCTCTTCACAGGCTTAAAAAGATCCAGGAAAAGAAAAAAGTCTTGAAAGAAAAGTCTGATCAAGAACGGGAGCTGCGGAGGGCAGCTGGTGAGGAAAGTGAGCCAGCCAATCTCTTAGCAGAAGAGAAGGATGAAGACCTTCTCTTTGAGTAACCCTGCACAGCTGCTGTACATGGAGCAGGGGACCCAAAATACAGAATGTCCAGTTGCAATATAATTCAAGACATGTTGCCTCCAAGATACTTATGTGGCTTCTCATTTGGTGTCCAAGTCTTGAGTTGAATGGATTGTGGATTTCTCCTGGGAGATTAGAAATCTGGGAACTTGACTACAGCATAGGAGGGAAGGCAGAAATGGGTGAGATGCTTTACTATAAGGAAAGACTTCTAGTCCATGTTCAGCCTGTTTCTTCACTTAGTAGGAATGACTGTTCATAGGTGTATTTTTTTTTTTTTGAAGGATGGCTCTGGATTTGCCTAATCAGATTGGTCTAATTGCTCCCCTTCTTAGTACAAGCAGAGAAAAATGTTACTTAGGGAGGAAGCTGCATGTGATGTTCTTTGCTGCTGAACCAGTAATATTCAAGTTGCTTAGAGCCAGTATTGGCACAGCTGAAGTCAAATCCCTGTAAAGGAAACTCTAGTTTTCTAACCTGTTGATGAAATCCACAGTCTTCTGTGATATATTTTTGTTGCACGATTGTTACCATTGGCCTAATCTACAGTTTTAATTAGAGGTTCTGCCAACTTGTGTACTGTCTGTGCTAGAAACAAGTGTAAATTTTAACTGTTAAAATACCTGGTGTCTGGCTCGAGTTGCTAGAAGATCAGTCTGAAAAGCTTGTTGTGTTGATTTCAAAATAAAATCTCTGCTTCACCCTTTACCCCTGACGTGGAAACCACACAGAATACATCTCTTATAGCCTGTGCCCACATCTACTTAATCTTTACTGCTTTAAGTAACTATGGAGAAGTGGCTCCCTCTTGCCAAAAGCACACAGGAAAAAAAAACTAGCTACATGTTGCTGCAATTCTTCATTGCTTCAGTAGGCTGGTAAGCAAAGCAGGGTTGAATGCACAGCAGTCCATCCTTCCTGTGGTTCTCATGTCCAAGGCTGATGAGTGGAGTCCAGGAGGGTGGCTGATCAGCAGGCTGTCACTAAACCCTGCTCACTTTGAAGAGCTGTTTTCTTAAAGACAGAAGCACAGAATCATTTAGGTTGTGAAAGACCTCGAAGATCAATCACCACCTTGTCAGTCCACAGCCATGTCCAGTCATTCCTTGAACACATTGTTGTGTTCTTTTTCTTGAAGTCACTGGTTTGCAATCAGCAAACTGAACACATGCCCCAGAACTAATGCTAGGTCATAGTTTCCAGTACTACAAATCTAGTCTATTCAAGGTAAGCATCTTGTTGTAAACATGATGCAGCACTTAACTGCAGATACAGGGTAACTGCAAGGAATAAATTTCTATTAACACCTTTAAAAAAATCATTTTAGAAGTGTATGAATAATAAGGCCATTTCTTTTCTCTCGTGTAGCTGCAGACAGCACACCTGAATGGTAGGCCCATAGTCTGTAATAAGATACAGATCCAGCATGAAAGAGAGACACTGGAGCTCTGCAGACCTGTTGCCTCTGCCACAAGATGGATGGTGTCAGAAGGTGCACAGAACATCCTGCAGGGCACTGGCAGGTCACACCATGTTCACATATTCACCAAAGTGGCAGAAAGAAGACTCCCAAGATCCACTACAAGAAGTAAAATTGTACAGTGATTTATTTTAAATCTAGAAATATTTTACATTTTTACATTAGTGTGCAGTTCATGATGTCTCAAAATACAGAGTGCAGATATAAGTATAAAAGTAAAATGTGGGGCCAACCACAGGTCTCAGTAAAGTTACCTTAATTATTTAAGGCATGGAACCCCCCATCTAATATTTTAAAAAGTCACATTTAATTACATTCAAAAATTTTTTTATGCAATTAATCTAACATTTATTTTTAATTAAATCTGGACTGGTGAAAATGCAGATACCCTCATTTCAATCTGATACAGCTCACAGCAAATCCTGGGATAAGGTTGAAGAGTTCTCCCAGTGATGTCTATGTATTTTATTCTTGAGGGAACTAGCACATTTAATTCTTCATTAAACAAGACAAAATGATTTCTTACACAAGGTAGTTCCAGGTCCAAGCTGGCAGCAGATGGACAGCTACATACATATTTCAGTGCTGTTCAAGCTCTTCCTTTCAGCAGGAGACAAAGCTAACACTGGTTAAAAGCTATCATAGCACCTCTCTATGGATGTCAGTGAGTTCTTGTGTGCCTTGGGAATTAGGAGAGTAGAGCTCAACTTCAAGCAATATGCTTTAAGTCTACATTCAAAAGCTCATTTGTATAAAAACAGATTCTGTACAGCATTTCAGAAAAACTGGGTAGACAAACATGAATGAAATAACATTAATGGCATGATTTGCTGAGACTGATGCTGCCTATAAACACTGAATACCTAAGGGGGATCAGCAACCACCTTGAGCTGATTGTGACTGGCAGAATTTGGACAGCACCTACCCAGCTGAGCTAGGTTAACCTCACTCAACATGTTTTACTGCTTTCCACCTTCTTGTCCAGAAACATTCAATACCCAAAAGCCTAATACATTTACAATCAACTTTCTTTAAAAAAGGTAGAATCAATACAGTTTTTTTCCAATATACCTGAACACTGTTGTTGTCATAAGCTATGGATGAAACTGAGAACACACCTGCAATGTGTGTTCTCAATTTTGAATATCCAGCCCTTAGGCCAACAGTAGCAGAGTATTATTTCTAACAGTGACTTGAACTAAGATATTCAAATTTCCATCCCATTTTCTTTCTGAAGCATCATTACTTACCCCCACTAATTGCTTAACTGCTTTTTAGCCCTAAATATTAATTAAACCAGCAAATAATTTTGCTTTCTAGCAAGACAGATATGCACTCTATACTTCAATTTTTCAACACAAAAAGGTACTGCTTACTAGTTCAGTACCTAGGACAGTTATCTGACAATTTCTTTATATCTGCTCTATACTTTGAGCTCTTTAGCTATGAGTGTGAATTTGTTCACTAACATTTTAAGAAAGAATATATGCAAGACGGAATGGAAAACAGTAACTGCTTTTTTATCCTTCAGCATTAGACAGGAGTGAACTACACATTGACATAGCTCCAGTGTTTTACCTGTAGGAACAAAGAAACACTATGGCTAAAAGAGATATTCACAGTTAAAGTTCTTTGTGCTACCCAAACCAGCCAAGGTACTACTATTCATTTAGTGTCAGCAACAACAGCCCCACTGCAGATGCACAACCACAGTAGTTAAACCTTCACAGCCAGAATCATTTGAGGATGCAGACATGTTCCCACCTGTTTTGCAGAATGCATTAAGATACAGGCCTTATCTTCTGTTCCCTTGTTTCAAGTTTTTTGTTCTAACCATTAAAAATATTCCCCTTTCTTGTGACTTCTCAGTCAATTACCAGTGTTTTACACATATTTTCACTGCAGCACTGAGCAAATGCAGGACAGTAAGTTGGCTAGTGAATTACAATACTCATAACACAGTAGCTACATTCAGCTATTTTAATTCCAGTTAGTTGTCCATTAGCCCAACAGCCACAACATGAACCATTTGTAGAGATCAGAAAACCCCACTGTCTTCCAATGTTCAGCACATCAGTCTGTATTAGTCAGTATTCTGTTACAAAACATGAGAATTTTAGTTGATTTTCAAGCAGCATGTCTTATAACTATATATTTTCACAAAAATATAACCTCTGCCTTTCTATCTCTACAAGTCTGTGAAAAACAGCGGCTCCAATCAGTCGGTATGTTTTAAAGAAAATACTGTAAAAATATCACATCTAAAAGTTCAATGTAATAGTCATATTTGATTGGACCTAAAATTACTGTGCAGTCAAATCTGATTTTAAAAGTCTGACTAAAAAGACACAAGGATTGAATTATTTACATTATACACATTTTTCAATACAGTGCTGTTAGAAAGTGGAATGTTTGAGAATTAAAATATTAACTCAAGCCTCACAGGGCAGCTCCAGACCAGAGCAGCATCTTCGCTCTGTGTATTTTTTGAACAGGAGAGGTTTCTCATTGACATTTTTCATGTGTAATTATTCCTCTGCTCAGTGATGGGTAGAATTATGCTCCTGAACTAGCATCATGTCCCACAATATCATTAAGTTAAGTGTTAAATAACATTCATATTTATAACTATGTGACAGCATGGACTATATATATATATATACACACAAACAAACTTAAAATCTTTGTCCTAAGGGTGATTCTAAGTTAAAAAAGTGGACTTATGTATAAAAGTAGTTGCTAGAAAAAAAATCTATCTAAAGCTTTAGAATTTAGTATTGACATGGTCTCCTTTTCTAGACCACAGAGAAAGAAAACCTGGACAATCTTTAGATCAGTTAAATTGGCTCACAAGCTGATCAGCGTATTTTTCAGTAATACGCAATTTCACTGGCAAAGGATGCTGCCACTGAGGTCTAGAGCTCACATGCATTTGTACTAGAATTGGGCAGACCTACACATGATCTGCTTGGAAAGGTAACTAGATTGAAGTCCATTTGTCCCTAGGAACTGCTCTCATCGTAGCCAGGTGGAGGGCACCCACTGGGGTTCTGTGTCGAGCTTATTTATTAACCGAAGTAACTCTTGATATGCCTTATCAAGATCAGAATTCACAATTGCTGTATCAAAGTAGTGGCCATTGTTCTGTTCCATCTCCCTTGTCTTCTCTATGATTTCTCTCAGCTCTTCTGGCTGCAATCAGAAACAGAGAGTTAGTGTAGGTGTGTAAATCTCTTCCCCACAGTAACAGCAGGGAAAGGGAACAACTCAATTTCTTTACACAAACACTCCTGGTGTTGCTATTGGCTTTTGAAAAGTTTACAGGAACACTCAGCCATGATCCATATTTGAAAGCTAAGGGCGTTCAAGACAATCCTGACTGACTGGCTGAGTGGCAAAGAGTAAATACCGCCCAGGCTGAAGAAAATGAGGAAGATCTAGCACTGCTCGTTGCACAACACTGATCTCACTGAAGCAGACTGGACCCGTGCAGAACAAGGCAGCATTCTGCTGGCAATACCAACACCTCACAGCCAAAGGAGACAGCTGTCACTGGTGACACTGTTCAATACACAGCAGTGACAGCCACACACAGTGAGAGCCACACATTTAGTTTGACCAAATCACGATAACATCAGGTGAACAACATTGCAGAAATGCGAAAAACACCATTTGGGAGCTAGAAGGGCTTATGTTAAAAGCAAGAATATTGCAGTGTAGATAAATGACACAAAGGCAGAAGTAGAAATGTTTTGATTTCAGAATTTTTCTTACACTTAGATTCTAAAAGTGTGTTTATTTTTCTCAACTTATTTTTGTATTGTATGAAGAAATATTCAGGTATAATTTTTGAGTTAGTATTCTAGGGAGGATATTTCAAAAGGAACTTCAGGCCTTTGGAATTTTTTTCTTAGTCATTACACAGTCTTGATAAAATCAGAGCAACATTAGGGCATACATGCAAGAAATACCCTTTTCTTTATCAGGGAAGGGGTTTAACTCGGTAGCATGTACCCAATTGAAATAAATACAACTCCAATGCAATTAATCAGAAAGAAAATAGGCACAGTGTACCAAGAAATGCATTCCTTTTTATTGCAAATGGATTCCTTGACTACTGCAATAAAAATCCAGAACATACATAAAATGCAATGTTTACATTAAAAAAAGTTTCCTTCATGGCATAAACATGAAGAAGGAAACACCCATTTAAAGACTATGATTATAATTGACTCAGGGGCAGGGGGAGGAAAGGGAAAAAAAGGAAATTTCCTCTGTTTCAACACTTGGACTTTATTGGACTTTTAAATCTTGCACACAAGTAATAAATCACAGCCATAGAACACAGTGAGTTATGATTCCTGAGCAACAGATGTGTCAGGGATAACTGTGAATTATGTTGGGAAGATTGTTTCCCCTTAGTATGAACTGCATTGTGCTCAATTAGTACTTGGAAAATGCTGTGGTGGTAAAGGGCACCTGCCACTCACTACAGGGTAGATTTTAGTTAAAAAGCTGATGATGAACCTATTCCATTGCCTAAGCAATAAGCACTTGGTATATCATAGCCTGATAAGGAACTTTTCTGAGCTTTCAGATGTCCTGGTTCAATCTTTGGCTTTCAAGTCCATTCTGCAGAACTAACTTCTGAGACACTAAATTATCTCATATGCTCAGATCTTGGACATGACTGGTTAAAAATGAAGAGTGATCCCACAAGATCAAGATTAAAATAGGTTTATCTGAAGAGTTTTGGATTTTCAAGTAAATGCTTTTCCAAAGGCAGGTACATTCTGAAATGAAAACCAGTACTCCTTTGCTCCATATAATTACTCCCAGGTTTACCTGAGGAAAAAACTGAGCTTTCCACAGTTTTGAAATAAAAGGTCATGTTTTTGTCCCCAGATGCAGGGACCCCAACACAGACACTGTGCCCCAGAATTACTGAATTAGCAGTGCATTCCCTTGCCTAATACCTCTCACATCTCTTTATGCAAAAGCATCCTGAATGAACCCTTCCCATAGCATGGTTTGCCTACCAACCTGGAGCACAGCTACACTGGTTCACTGCACTGGTAACTGCCAGTACCATCACTGTGTCCCCATCCCAAGGAAAGAGTATGTGCATTTGTCCACCAAACCCAGCATGGCTTCAGAAGAAGTGCAAGACACCTTACCTTAGGATTTTTCCCTTCTTTGGCCAATAAAGCACGTAGTCGTTCTTGTGAAGGTGGTGCAACAAATATAATATATGGCTTCAAGTCAGAGTTACGTAGTGTTTTCAGTGACTGCAAAAATAGGATTAAATATTTAACGCTTTCACCCAGGAACAGGGCACTTATTGATGCACAGTTCATATGCTATACTTGGTAATACACTCTTCAAACACAACAACTGTACAGTATATTAACAGCAACAGAATTAACTGTAACAGCATTCAGAGTTCAGACACCACTTCCTATGAAATTTATATTCTAACATTTTTCAGCTTCATGAAACTGAAATATTTACTTTTGGTCAAGAATATTCTTTGTAACTGAACTGAAGGAACAGATCTTTTGGTATCCAAAAGCAATAAAAAGGTTAGCTACATTGAACTAAGGGTCGTACAATTCTAAGGAAAGGTATCAGCTTTGAACAGAGCGAAGAGTCTTTAAATATTACAGTTTACTTGAAAAACTACAGTTTAACCTTTTCTGTTTTGAAGATTAAAATACAAGACATCAGATGCCCTATTACTGTATGTGCAGCATTCTGTTTTGTCAGGTTTGTCTTGGGATAAACAACTTGTCTCTGAGATAAATTTTTGTAGCCACAGAATTAGACAAATTTTTAAGAGTTATGAATTTTCATCTCATGACATGCTTTGCAATACCCATGAGCTATGCTAGTTAAGTATCACATGGTCCCAACCGGTGATGACTAATTGATGACTAACTATAGCTTCAATACTACCAGATTTTACTGATGTGGCTGAGTTTTAGGGCTTCTTTTGCAGCATCTACAACAGCAGCAGACCTCATACACATTGCATGTATCAGAAAACAGGCCGCATTCCAGGACTCAGCCTCTTACCACATTTGACTAAATTTCCAAACAGGTATGCAAGCACAGTTTTTCGCTTCATAACCAAAAGGTCACAGCTAAATGTTTTTTCAATACTGTTGATGTGATGTACTTAATTTCTGAACTGTATTCGGAAACTGCACAAACATTCCTGAAATGCAATTTCCAAGTATAATCACAAACAATGTCCTCTCTGTCTTCAAAAACCCCAAAGATCACAGAGTAACTGGAAGATGGAGAGACACAAATCTTATTTTATTTCATTTTTAATTTTAGATGGTTTCCAGATACTTAAAGCTGGTGAAAACCAAGACCCCTATCAACTGCAGCACAGATAAAGAGGTGCGTATTTGCAAACGAGGAACTGAATAGAGTCAACTGAGCATCCTGGCATAAACATGAATATGGATCTTGAAAACACACTCATTTTATAAACTAGATAGAGCTCTATAGATAATTCACAGCAGCTTCTACAATTAAAACACGACAAGAGCTCTGCCATACCTGGGTATGAAGATTTAAAAGGCAAATCTTGCCCGAGTTGATGACTTGCCGCACGGAGTCTATGCTGGTTCCGTACAGGTTCTTCTCAAACTCCCCATATTCAATGAACTTCCCTGCAGCTATGTCACTCTCAAACGCCTGTCGGGAGATGAAATGATAATCCCTGCCAGCTGCTTCCGTCTCTCGCCTACTCCGAGTAGTATCTACAAAAAGGAAATTGAAATGCTTATACATGTAATAGAACTGAAGAAAAAGAAAAACTCTTTCTCTTAGCAGGCATATTGCTAATCATGCAAACACAACCTCCAAGCCCTCCCCAACCTAACACAGGAAATATCCATAAAATCCATGTATTTTATTTTCTACAATAAATGTCCCTGGTCAGATTAAGCTGTCAAACTTAATTCAGAGGTTTCTTTTCCATTATCTAGAAGAAAAAAACAGTTAACTACAAAAAATAATAGTTTTAATTGTGCAGTTGTGTTCTGAATGTGAAAACAGCTACTAGTTGCTTTTCAAAAAACATATATTGCTGAATTGTTTGTAAACACAATCTAGGGTACACTAGACATTAAAAATATAATATTCACTGAAATACAAGTGGCTTCGAAGGTCACTAAAGCCACCTGAATTGAAATTTATGCAGGACATTTGATTAAAAATTTTTGCCCGTTTATACTGGCTTCTTTTTGAACTTCTGTAATTCACTCCAATTTTAATCAAACCAATATAAATGCATGTCTTATAATGCTTCTGGAACACTGTGTTTGTAACACTGGATTTGCATTAACTTCCCTCTTTTCAAGAGCTCAATACATCCTGCCCCAAACCCCCAAGCTCCAAATGACTGTTTCCAACACAACAGGATTTGTCTGCAGCCAAGGCTCGGAACAAGGATCCTCATCTGCTGTCACACTCACGGGGCACGGCGGTGGCAAAGCGATCCACTTCGTTATTCATCAGTCTCTGCCGCAGCTCGTTCTGGCCGCAGTTCTGGGGCCCAATCAGAACGATGGGACGTTTCCTGTTTGCTGGCTGATGGTACAGCGACATTTCCTCGTAGGTCAAAATTTCCTCATTGTCATAATCTTGAGAGAGAACAATAAAACAGTCACAAAGTACTCTACTGCCAGTTTCATGTATTGCCTGTCATGCAGTATCAGATTTCAGACAGCTCCTGAGTCTCTGCCCAACATCTAACTCTGAGTCATCAAAGCAACAGAAGCCCAAAGATCATCATGTGCCCAGTACAAGAATTCTTTCCCTTTCTTGGGAAAAAAAAAAAATGTTTCCACTTACTACTCTTCATATATAACTAGTAGCACAAACCCAAGAAACAACTTTTACCCAAAAAAAAAGTTTCTAGTACAAGAGTAACAATTTATACCCAAAGGCAGCAGCCATCATCCCAATCTCCAAGTACTTTTGTAATAACATAGCCTATAAAATCTGTCAAGAAAGTTTCCATTTATGAAATTTAATTATGCAGAGTGAGATATTACAAAGCCATAATAAATTGGTTCATCATTGTAAAACGATGAGTGCCTCTATGCCTAAAAAGCTATGTTTTTTCCCTTACCATCTGATCTTTATTAAAGACACTACAAATCCTTTTACTTCTTTTACATCTTTCACTAAATGCTACAACACAACATAGCATTGCTCTTACACAGAACTTGCTGCTAGCATTTCTAACATCATATCCTGAATTTCAGCATTTTCTCATAATCTTTTATAGTTGTTTATAATTACACACATTGTACAAAAGTTGTTCCTTACCATCATTTTTATTTGCATTGTATAAAACCTTTTTCCGTTTCTTTTTGTTCTTCTTCGCGCACCAGAGCTTTCCTAAACAAAATAAAAATGATGACAATCAAACAACCATACAACAAAAATCTTCCTATTCTGCCCATATTTTGGATCTTTAAAGTGGAGAATTTATTCTGCAGTTTTGAGAAGGCATAATATCCTTTTGTTGATTATAATGCTTTGGTGTATTAAGCAAATGTCAAGGACTTCAACCAAGTCATGGCAGATAAAGTTCTTTATGAAAAAGGGGGCTTTCCAAATTCTCTAAATCCTCCTAATTACAGCACACATAGTTGTGAAAAACCCACGTGATTTATATAACAAAGTGTTAAATTCAGACTTGTATTTACATGAAGAATTTCAAAGAATTATCCCACTTGTATTACAAAAAAAAAAAACCCACACAAGGAGATATTTCTACAACCTCCACCATGACAAGATTCCGTGTAACACTAATTTAAACACTGCTACAAAAGATTTTTTTTTTTAATTTGGGAAGCATATATCCCACCTGATTTTTCAGGCTCCTTGTCTTCTTCTATGGTTTGCTTCATTGCTTCTCTTTGTTGCTGAAAACTTTTTCCTTGATGCATTAAAAAAAGCACAAGAGTCATTAACATTTAGAAACCATTTCCATGCTTTTTCAAAATGACTTACTCATTTGACTCTTTCCTAATCTTTTACATCTCTGAAGGTTCCAGTAGAATGTAACATACAAAAGAAATTTTAAAAGAGAAACCAAAATTGCTGCAAAACTGATTTATTACTTCAGAAATATATTCATCAAGAGAGACTTGCAGAGCATTTGTTGTATACTTGACAGTTTTGCCTGGAAAAGTGAAAGTACAGGAAAGACTACATTTTCCCACTATGATAATGTAATTTTCTAACTATTTTTGTATGTCAAATGTGTTCTATTTATATTAAATATTTTGAACTTCAATTTAAAATTTACTAGCTTGTATTTAAATCAGTGTTTCTCTGAATTTATTCAAGCATCATAAAGTTACAGTGTGATATTCTACAGAATTTGAAAAGTTTTTTCTTCACCATGTGTAACAGAGCAGCAGGTCTTTAATGAAGTAGGCTGCAACATATATTGCAATGCAAAAATTATGAACAGACTTCAGTATATGACATCCTATTACCCAAAGTGAGAAAGTGAGAAAAGAAGTCTGTCACAAGTAACTGAAGCCCTTTGTTAAGTGAAAACATACTGAAAAGTGACCACAAATAGGTACTGTATCAAGTAGCTTATTTGGAAAAGGTAGGAAACCCCAGAGCTGTGCCCATCTCCAGAGAAGAAGCGGGCTGCAGTCCCACATCTCTGCTGCAGCCAGCAGAGGGAACTCTGAACCTGCTGGGTCCCCATGGTGGAGGAATAAAGGAAGAGGACAGCAGCTCCTGAAAGCGGCAGTAAAAGCAGAAGTTTTACTCTGCATTTAATTCCAGACATGGCGATGCCCAACAGTAAGCTCTGTTGCAAATGGCTCAAAGACACAGATATATTTAAGGCAACAGATATTTAAGAGTACACAAGTCTTTGAAAACCTGAGTATTGCTCCTGTGTGGCCATGATAACCAACTTGACTGACCATCAAGATTTTTCTAGAGCTTTATTTACCAGGGATAAGGCCTGCCAATGGTTGATTATCTTCATCTCCATCTCTGTAAGCCTGCCACCAGTTTGGATCTTCTTGACTGATCACGTGGAGTATGTCTCCTTTTTGAAAAGACAGGCCTAACTCTCGGCAGGGGACGTAAGGGTCATCAGAGGGATCGTAGTCAAAATGCGCTTTCACGTGTATCTGCAGGAGATCAAATGTTAAAACAAGGGAAAATACCCCAGTGACTTCTGAAGAATTAAACCTTGTCTTCCTGTGATTGCATTAGAGCTACGATGTAGAAAAACTCCAAGCTTCCATAAAACGGAAACTTTATCTGGGGCATACAGGAGGTACTGGAATGGAATCATTACGGTAACAATGGAAAGGACACAGTTGTGCTAGGCTGGATGGAAAGGCTTGAATTTAACATGGGACTTCCTCACCACTGTGGGAGACAATCCCCCAGCTACTGATTTAAGTTCTCTGCATTCAAAAATTATCAGAGGCATTCTGATTACTTAAAGTACCTAATAAATACACAGACTGAAACACATTTGCTGGACTTAAAGTGAAGTTTCACTTGTAAAGTATTTTGTCACCAATCATTAATGTCTGGGCATTCTTTCTTGAAACTGTTAAAGCTATCTTTTCCTCCCAAAGCATATTTGCAAGGTTCAACAATCCAAGTTTTTTTTAATACATACACACTTATATACATACATATATATATAGACACACACAAAATACAGAAATTCAAAATCAGAAGCTCAGAACCACAGAAAGTTCTACTTCTACAACTTCTTTCAGAAACTGAGTTAAAATTGTACTAAGAGTTTTGGTTTAAGATCATTAATGTTTTTCAACAGTTAATTCAGGTGTTAGTCTGATAATAAGTAGAATCAATTTAAATGGCTACATTTTGGGTTTGTTCCACAATGTAAAGGACCTGCAGAAGAACTTTTTACACACTACTGGTAAAGCAAAGTACATTTCACCAAGCACAAGAACATCTGTAGAGCCACTTACAACTGTCTCCTTCGCAGGAGGTGGCTTGCTCTGCTGACTGGGAATCAATACGAAGGTCAGAGTACCATGCATGTCAGCCTGAGAGGAAAAATAGACTCTTCATATACAGTAGCAAAATATGGCTTAAGGTTAAGACTTTTAATAAATAATACATTTCAGAAAATACTTTAAAAATTCCCATTAGCTGTTCCTAACAGTGCATCATCTACCCCTTAGCTAGTTTAAAATATATAATACAGATAAAGATGCAGTGATTCAGTAAGACTACAAAGCTAAGTGTTGCTACTCAGATTTTAAAAGCCTAGCTTTCTTGAATAAAAACTATATTTGAAATGGAGCAGCTGCTGTTCTGTCAAGCACAGATGTAGGAAAAATGGATAATTGTCTTGTTCAAACAGAACAGTTGTTCTGCTCTGTTCAAAAATACCAACAAGTGTGTCTACTGGAATGAAAAAGCATATTTAAAAAATGTAATTTTTCTAGAATTGTTTAAATGGAACAGTGCTTGCAAATCTAAACACTTTCTACTATGATTTTATGCTGTTAACATTACCAAAGAATTCAAAACACTGTTTAAAGATTTTGCTAAGATACTCAAATCTTGCATATGTGAAGTGTTCAATACCAACATTGTAGTCATCCTTGATAAGAAAGTAGAACATAATAAACGTCTGGTCTTTATCTTCTTTGCTTACATACTTCCATTTGCAGAATGTGTTTGCACACATAAAAAGTATCTTGATAAAGTGCAAGTGACAGCCTGTGACAAGGTCTACAGGTGTTTCATGTCATATACACCATTCTATGAACCTTAACACAACAATTTATCCTGTATAAAACAAGAAAATGCATCTATTTCAGAAAATTCAGAACTACGGATTAAATAAAGTAAAAGTAACTTGAATAAGTTACATTGCCTGCAAGAACGGAAAATCCATTATTTTCAGTCCACAAGGAATGTACATAATCTCACAGTGATCACGTGAACAGCCTAGTCTAAAAGTCAGGTGTAGTTGATTATCACTTAAGTAGCAAGCAGTGAGGCAAAACTAAGGAAGTAATTTCTTTCTCCTGTACTTGAAGTGTTTTGGGGGGTTTGAAGTATTTTAGAACTTAATTTCCAAATTACAAAATAAAAATTACGACAGATAAAAGATTAAAAGTATTATTTTAAATTAGTTCCATTAAAAATATATTCTAAAAATCAACAAGGTTGTGTTTATTTTATTTTTACTTTTCAGCAAATTGATTTTCTCTTATGCTAATGCATTGTGGCTTTACACCTTTTTTAACCCTAGGCTGCAGGAGCTAATCAGGAGCAGAATAAGCTCTCTGCAGAGAACTAAACTGCCAGACTTGAACTACGTGTTAATCACCTCCAAAACACTCTTTTCAGAAGCACAGGATTTAGCTACATATGGCTTTAAAAAACAGAGATGGCAATGGAGACAATCACAAAACATGAAAAATCTCAGATCTGATTAAAAAAAAAAATGGACATTCAAGGCTTCTCAGAGAAATGTAAGCATCTTTCTAATTGAGTTAAAAACAGTAAAACAAAAACCCCCAAACTTCACACATTTCTGCCTCTACTTCCTTCCATTTGATCTCACTGTATGAAATAGCTGAAAAATTTTAACAGCAAATTTTAGAAAAAAGTCCAACTGAAGATGAAAATTGTCCATTAAAAACCTGCATCTCACTGTACCATAAAACAACTTCATCTATGGATATTGCTGTCTACAATTCCTGCACAACCTACAGCTGAACCTAAGTCTTTGTCCTGATTCTGATTTGTCTCTAGAGCATAAACCTACTAAGTAATGTGAAGATTTACTAAATATGTTTCTCCTCCTTTTTTTCCCCCAAACACCCTACTAAATAACCTAGTTGATATTGCCAATGTTTTGTGCCAAAGTCATAAATTAACCTCTTAAAAAAATCATTTTTATCTGTTTCCACTTTGACAATATGGTCTTGCCTGCTGCAATTGGACCAAAGATTCAGAGTTGGGTTTCAGGTGTCTTGGACATTGATCCAAAGCAGTTACCAGGGAAAAGCATGAAAGAAATGCAATTGGGCAACAGAAAATACTGGTGGTAATTGCCAGCTTTTGACATTTTTCTCACAGGGCCTTTTTGCAAGTGAGTACCTCTATCTTACTAATTCCTGATGGATTTCTTGCCTAGCTGCTTTTAAACTAAAGTATAACTTTGTCATGAATGGTGTAATAAGCAAGCAAATGTCTATACACGTAAACTGCTGGACAAAAGGGCTTTTACCAGGTGGGAAAGTGTAGTAAGTCTAGTCACAAAATGGTCCCGTGTGATACCATTTGTGGTGGGTTAAGTCTGGCCAGCAACTTAAGCACCAACCAGCTCCTAACACACTTCTCTCTCCCAGCAGGTTGAGGGAGAAAATTGGAAGACCAAATGCAAGAAAAACATCTCACGGGTCAAGGTAAAACCAGTCTAATAACTAAAGTGGAAAAAGCCCAACCCAACAAGTGATGCAAAAGCAATCACTCACCACCCAGATTTTACTGCTCAGCCTGACCTTACATGGCCCTTCACATCACTGTGGTTAATTTGGGTCAGCTGTCCCAGCTGTGTCCCCTCCCAACCTCTTGCTCACCCCAGCCAGTTGCAGCCAGCAGACAGAGTGAGAAACAGAGGCCTTGACACTGCGCATGCACTGCTCAGCAACAGCTAAAACACTGGTGCATTATCAACACTGTTTCAGTCTAAACCCAGCCTAAAACGCAGCACCATATAAGCTGCTATGAAGAAAATTACCTACAAACCAGCCACACATTTATTACTTGTGGACTGAATAAGAGACAAAGAGGAAAAATTATGGCTTTTCGGAGCTAAACAAAGTTTTCCTAGAAATCATTAGAAGTAAGTAACAGCTTGATGCTTCCACATTTGTAGGCTTGATTATTGCAGGAACTGCAATTACACTTGTCAGTATTGTCATATGCATCAGAAAGAAAACTTGAAATGGACTTCCACATATGAACACCAGCTACCAGAATGAAAATACTTTTGAGACTAAATATGAGTAAAATGACAATCAGAGTCAACAGGCTTAAGACTTATGAAATGAGTATCTATTGCAAAGAAAACAAGAAGTGTTCCAACTCACCAGCAAGTCAAAAACTTCATTAACATCTTTTCCACGGATCTCAATGCCATTGATCTCCAGAACTTCATCCCCTTCGTGCAACAGCCCACTCTTCTCTGCAGCACCTCCTTTGACTATTCGACTGATGATAACAGAATCCATTTCATTGCGAACAGTAGCACCCTGTGTAGCAGCAACACATTCTGAATTTATTACATATATGAAACTCAAAGCCATCTATTGTATATATTCCAAGCCTGTGGAAAAGCTATGCTGAAAGAGAATGCAAGTAACAGCTTGGATGCATACACACAATGCTCCAGTTCAAAAAATCCACTGCTTAACTCCTACAACCTACACTAAAGACTGAGGAATTTAATTGCTCCACACCATAAGATTCATTTTTTAAAATAAACATAGTCCCGAGGAAACTCTTACTTGAAAGAAGCAAATAGCAGATGATAACTGGTAAACAAACCCCAAAAGCAGAAACCAGCCAATCAAAAAAACCTACACCTGGTTGGGACAAGGTTTAAGCTCCCTTGCAGCAAGTTTAGAATAGATCTTGGATCTTGGATCTTGCCAAGAAGATCTGTCAAAACCCAAGCTGACAGAAGTTGTACAGATTTTACATGGTAGTATGGCTACTGCCCAGTTCAAGTTAAACACAAGTTTATTGTCTAGGACTGTTTCTCATTTTGGAGGGAGGGAGAGTGTTTACAAGTTAAACACTACCTTGGCATTCGAATTCCTAACATTTCACAGCAATCTGGAAAGGACAAAAAGGCTCACTTCCTCCACATATAACTGAGTAAGCACCAGTACTTACCAAGGGAATATCCCGAGCTTTCTCAATGCGAACTATTTTAACCGTCTCCCCTCCGTACATGCCAACATTCTCATAAATCTTTTCATCTGTCATAGGCTCTGGTTGCATTTCTTGTTCTGCAACCTTATCATGAGCCAGCAGAAGTGCCTAGTGTTAAACAAAAATCAGCTCAGTTACAGAAAATATCACACTTGATATGCATACAAAACAGCAGAATAAATTCTGCAATTTCAACAGTCTCTGCAGGTTATAGAACTTTGCAAACTGACTCAAGCAATTTAAAAAATCATTTATCACAGCTACATAGAACCTACTTTTTTCAAAACTTTCAGACTAGAAAATAATACAAAAGCAATTTTGAACACAACTGTGACTGAACTTCTCTCTTACCTGTACTAAAAAAAACCTGACATTGGTTTACTACGTATGTGTCTGTAGACTCAGAATAAGTTCTGCAGAGAAAACTACTTTTACATCACCATCCCAGGACAAAATTCGCTTTATGCACCCTGAGGTAAGCATGAAACAACTGCCAAAGGTAAAACAAAGCAACTCATGTGCTGCCCTGTTCCCACTGACCTATTGCTACATTGTTTATGTGCAAATCACCCCGTAATCCATACAGACTGTAGCAAGGGCTGAATACAATCTGTATATTGTATAAGTGTATAAGTGTAGTACATTGAATACAATGTACTACACTTCATTAAAAAGTTCCATTAATTTCTGGAAATTGCAATTTCCTTATTCCAGAAAAATGAGGGTTGAGAAATAAAATTCCAGTCAGCCCAAGGCAAAAAATAAGTTACATTGAAAACAACATCAAGAAATAGATCCATTAGATTAGAAGTTTCATTTTGTTTTACCTGCATGTGAGGGGCATTCAGCAAAGCGTTAAGCTCCTGTCCATCCTTATGGTGGCTGGGTTTCAAAACACTCTGTACCTAAAAAGAAATCAAGCAGTAAAACTCTAAATATAGCCAGTGATTTATCAATCCTCCCTCTCCTACTCAAGCACAACCCCCTACTTGCTGACTTGAGTAATTACTCATTTTACTGAAACTAAGGTATATCCATGTTTGTTACTACTGCTGATTGATTAATCTGGTACACATTAGGAAAACACGCAATGAGACCACAGGACTAACCCAGCACATCTTGCCTCAGTAACTGTCTACCACATCTAAGTTGGCATCCAGTACCTCATACAGATTTGTAAATACCAGAGATTGGCAATGAGCTCAGGTATCACAAAGATGTGCACAAAAAAAATCAAACTATAGACAGTGAGAGTTAGTGATTTCGGGGCAGTGAAATCAGTCACAATGAAGTGTATTATGAGACCGCTGGGCTTTTAAATTAGAGTAATTTCTTATTAATGTGACTAGCCTTCCTCTTCCTTAAAAACAGATTATCATATTCTTATTACACAAACTATTTCCACCAACAGCAAGACCAAAGATTCCAAGACAGGTTTTGCAACGCATCCTGGAGCTCCTGTCTCAGGAAGTGCGCAAATCAAAACTTCAAAAGGTCCCTCCCTGGAAACCTGATTTCTTTGTCTGGTTCCAAAATAATCCACACTAACACAAGGATAGTTTTTGCTCAAGCAGCTTCAGCTGCCAAAATAAGTTCTCCTTCTCATACAGTTACCAAACGAGCCTTGCCATCATGTCTTGCAAATACTGGTATGCTCATACAGAGAGCCAAGAGCAGGGAAGTGCTCTTACATAAAGGTGAGGCTGAAGATACTTTCCAAAGCCATCATCCCCTGGCCTAATCTGACCAAAAGCACACAAGTGCAACAGCACTTGAATACAAAGACATCAAGAGTAGATTATACAAATCAGAGCAGCAGTTTTCAGAGAAATAGGAAGCATTTTGTTCAAGAGCTTTTGATTCTCACAGATGAAGTAATGTGACATCAGAGAATCAAGAATCCAAAAGTTTCAAAGAGAAAATAATTCTGCTTTTTGTATGATCTAACAGTATCTAAAGGTCGGAAAAGCCTCTATATTAGAAGCAATTATCTACAGAAATGCTAACAACTATCTTGGATGCTACCACAAAACAGCACTGAAAACTTTCAAGTCAAGACACTTTTAAATTCCAGGAGAAGCCACTAAACAAACTGTGCCCATGGAGCAAGATCCTCATATTGCCAAGAGAAGTGTCACATTGAACATACTCCTGTGGTTTGCAATAAACATGGCACAACCTCCGAAAGCCTTCCTTCAGCCACCCCTAGAGCATGCCTCATGGTGAGCAAATGTAGTACACCTTAAAACAGTTGAAGAAGCCAGATTTACTTAGTTTCTTAAAGCGGTTTCTTTAAAATCATAGAGAACAGAAAGAGTTCAGCTTCACAAAGTTCTTACTTCAGTCATAGGTCTAAATTAGAAAGGAAGCTATTACACCTGGCTTAAACTGGATGCCACACAGCAAACAGAACATGACAAAAGACATATTTCACTAACAAGTTTTCCTCTCTTTTGAAAGAAAAGATTCTTCTGTACAAAAGACTTTCTCATAAACATTTATTTAAGGTCTCTAACTTTCAAGGGACTTTGAAGAAGCCACAAGAAGTCTTAAAGCTTTATTTATCAAATCTTTATGATCTTTTAATAGGAAAACCTACTCAGAAGCAACTTGGAAGTCTTCCAAGGAACACAATCTTCTGAATGCAAGGTCAGAGACTGGGAATTTCACAGTGGAAAAGAAAGTAATCTGGCTCAACCAGTTACTCTGTGTGCAGTAAACATCCCTTATGCAAGTTGAATTTCTGCTTTGAATAATTTATTAACAATTTTAATATATCCCCCCTGTAAGAAAAACATAAATCTCTCATTTGTTTATTTAATGAAGCTCTAGGAAAGCTTCAGGCTGCCCTATGGACCACTTATTACAGCAGTAGTGCTGCTTGCCAGAGTCCTTTGTAACTCATGGTAATAAATCCCAAAAGCTATTTCTTAGCTTTATCAACTAAGAAATTTGAAGAAGACTGTCATTCCAGAAGTGACACACTACATATAGCACAGATGATCTGCGTATGTGGCAATACCTGTATTTTCTTAACTCTTCTGGATAGTTTTTATTGTTAACCATGTTACCTTTAGACCAAGAAGCTTTCCCCCACCCCAGTCCCTGAAGTTATCCATTTGGTTTCATTACACACACCACAATCTGTAGGCATGTATGATGGAGGCATGTGCTGGAGTGATATTAAGCATTCAGAAATTAATTGCACCTGCAAAAGTCTGTTGCTGTTTACCAGCAGTTGAGCAGGACTGACAGATGGAGCACACATACACATTCTAGTGCACTTACACCAGAAGTTATGACCTTCCAGTGTATCCCCTCAACAGTACTGATCTAGTTTATTTGTCTGATTTTGCAGAAGCAAACAGTGGCAAGTCCAAAATGTTTAGCAACAGTCTATATAAATTGAGCCTATTAAGTATATTTAAGAACAGGAACGTCTTTAAGGTATTTGGTATGTGCTGTTACAGGCCAAGTCATAAACTGTCTTGAATGATGTATCAAATATTCTTACAAGATCAAGATTCAGGCCCCATTCCCATAATCCGTGCCCCCATCTTGGTCAAGTTTAAATGGATTTAAAATCAATTTAATTACACTTGATGTTTACTGGTTATTTTTATTTGAGGCTTGGAGTACACCCCATTACATGAAGATAAGCTTTCTCAAATAAATTCCTTAAGATCAAGTGCTTCATTCCACCTTTTTAATTCAACTGAAGTTTCTTAAAAAGATGAGAAAAAACTTGAGTTGTTAGTGACTGGTTATCAGAATTGGTGGGAAAATTAACCGTACATGTATACTACCAATTTTAAGAATTTTCTAAAGAGGACTAGAAAATTAAAAAACCCTAAATAATATTAGTTATTACTTCTTTTTTTAAAGGAAGACTCTTTTATGCTGCATTGTGCAATTGTGTTGTAAAACGCCTTTTCCTGTTAAGAGATGTTCTCTTCCACAGTATAAAGCTGCAAACAAAACATGTCTGTAGCTTTAAACTGGGGCACACACACACCAAACAGTTTCAGAGTTAAGACACTGTTGCTCATGACCTGTGCACTAAAATATGCACACTAGCACTACCTGCTATTTAAAATTAATGTTATGCATGTATCTGCTATTTTTCTTTCTTGTAATGTCTTCTGGCTTTAATCACCAAGATGTTATCAGTATCTTAAATGCAGGCTTTTGCAAGCGTCTTTTCAAAAACACCCTGAAGTAAGTAAATGAGCTGCTTTCTGGGGGAGTTTCTTATGCCTATGCTTAGAGTAGAAAAAGCAAAAGACAATAAAAAATGAGAGTACTAGAAAAAACTTAAGATATGCAAGATGAACACATTGTGAGGGTTAAAAAATACCCCACACCAACAACAAATTCAAAAAACCAAAACAAAAACACCACCAACTTTTCTAAACCAGAAATAATTTCCTTCCACACTGCTAGATAACTAATACAGAAACCTTTCAAAAATGAATAAAAGATCTGAAAACCAAGCATAAGATCTTCTATGCAGGCAAGACAAGGAAGTACAAGGTGATGTGAATGGAGGCTTCAAGGTATCCTCTTCTCGAGACACTCCTGTCAGACACAGAAATATTTGTCCTGAATTTCTGGCTCTATCATTTCAGGATGTTATTGCAAAATACAAGTCACTTAAATACACAAGAAGTTGAGTCACTGAGAAACTAGATTACATGTGAAAATGGGAACAGACTTGTAAAATATTGAGTTTTCAGGAATTTCAAGGCTGGACAAGACAGGGATGGAAGATCAAGAGTCAAAATGAGTGCAGTGATTTGTCTTTTATGTAATAGTCTTGTGGATAATGATCAAATTGTGTTGGTTTAAAAATTTTGGATAAATGAAATATTTTCCTTTTGCTTAACCTTTTCCTGACTGGTAAGAGACACAAAACTGGCTTTGCACCACCTACTGATTTTAGAATTTACCAAATCACCTGAAAAGAATGTTGGGAAGGTAAGGGGTAGTAAGAAATGGGGAGAAACACCAGAGTTTGGAAACAGACCTAGAGTTTTCCTAGGCATATTTTCTTCTTGGAAACTTCTATTAAGTAGCAAATAGAAGGTCATCATATTCATGAAGGGAAAGAATCAGCTTTCTTAAGGGTTACATCTGTAACACCTTGCATTATAAAAGAAGGTTCAAAAATTCTGACTTGCATCTGAATGAAATCCTAAACCAGGCCTATGTAAAGTGGGTGACTGGGGAGCAGCTTACAAACAGAAGGTAACTGAAGAGGCTCCTTCAGACTCACAGACACTGTGAACAAGCCCAGTGAGGAGTTTGAAGCAGGCTACACACTGATGAATAAGCAAGCCAGAGGGAAGCTTACATGTACTGCAAACATATGATTACAGTGGGTTGATTAGAAGTTTTCACAGATTCACAGGATATTCTAAAGTACTTCTACCTGCTTTTGGTACAGTCTTACTGACAAACCTAAACAAGAAAATCCAAATCTGAAGTTTAATCAGCACCTCCACCTTTAGATTGTATTTAAATTATGTTCCTCAAGAGTCAGTAATTTCTTCTGCAAAAGAACTTCAAGCTTGCTACAGTGCTGCTGGGCTTACAAGATTAAAGTCTAGGAAAAGAAAGGAGAGTGGAAAAAGCTGTTGAAAAAAAATACTTCAGGGAGCAAGAAAACCAGATCCTAAACCAAACTAACCAACCCAAAAATCCCACCAACATCCATCACTTGCTGCCACACTGAAATACTCCAACCCATGTACCTGAGTCAGTTTGGTTTGCTGGGTGCTAAATGCTGGAGCCTTTATCCAAGCCCCTGGATCTGGCTTTGCTGAACACTACAGTGCTAGGCTTGCACTGATGTTGGTATTCAAGCTACCTAGGTGAAAGCTAACAAAATTTATATGGGTTTAAGATGTAGCCACCCTTCACTACTATATATACTTGCACCAGACCATGGAAAATTGTGACAAAAGTTACTGAGTGACCCTTTGGTATATTTTAACAACTTCTAAAAAATGCATCAGATCCTACAAAAGAGCTGTCATCTGTCAGACCAAAAGAAGTTTAATCACAGCAGTAATTAAAGCATTGAAATTAAGTATTAAGGGGTCTGTTGCTCACTTGAAAGCAGAAGGCTCGTTTCCAGTATGCTTGTTTTTCTCAGAGACGACTCCCAGTGTAAGAACCATGGCTCAACTTAGAGCCAGTCTCTCATCTCACAATAAGAGAGAACTGTAACTCAGTTCCTGAATGCTTGAAATAAAGAATACCAACGGAAAGGGAGCTAGATTATCACAACCACTCCCTTTCCCTATGTTTAAACATAGTACCTTCTCTGTTACATATCTATCCATGCTAAAGAGGGAGTTCCTACCCCCAAAATATTTTTCTGGTTACTGTTTGCTGTATCTGGTTTTTCCAGATTTCCAATCAGTGACTACTATAACCTCTTTCATATTCAACATTCACTCAGACAAGCTTAACAAGTATGCATTTCAACAGTAGCTATGATTATAGGTTTCATGTATGTCACAGGGATGCATTCTGTACATACCTCTTGTGCTAGTTCTTGTGCATTGGAGCTGAGAGGATATGGAGGGCTGGCTTTGTTCATGTGGACTGTAACAGCGTTGTGGATCTTAAATGCATTCTGAAAATCACTATTTTGAACAAGCTGTAAAATGAGTGAGATATCCTCTTGACTCTGAGGGTCTACCAAAACGTGCTGGATATGCTTAAGAGAATTTAACAGTTCTTCCACTTCTAGGTAAGAAATAACAAAATACAAATAAGATATGAGTTAACAAGAATTATAGCTAATATTTATATTACGAGTTATACAAAATTTTTTTTACTGTTCGGTTTTTAAACCAGCAGTGATATATGCAAGTTTATTAGTTATCTGTTATTCTAACTTTTTTGGAGCAGAATGTAACTGAATTAAAAGAGTAAAAAAAAGAAAAAGACCCCAAGTCAGTAAGAGTAGTAAGACTTTATTGCTAAGCTCATCTTGATGCCCTGAATATTCACTGATACCTTGGTTCACTTTTCTGTGTGTACCTATCATACATGGTAAAAATCTATGTATCTCAGCTATATATTGCTTATAGAATGAATGTAAGATAAGTAAACTACACTCAACTTACAAACATAAAATTATGCTCAGTCTTAGCACATTGAAATAAAAAGGATGAAAAAACATCATCTGTGAACATTTATGAGTTTTGAAAATTACCTACAGCAAAAGAAAGCCCACATCTTTTACCTACATGAATATAAGTTCTGTTTGGGCAGTGAAATATTTTAATATTTTAATAACCAGTTTCTGTATGTTTGCAGAATACCATGCATGTACTGCATTCTGGAGTTTCAAGAACTGATCTGATGCTTTACAAGTGCTTTTCAAAGACATTTATATTATTTTAAGCCAAATCAAATTTCTGCTAAATAAGTCACTTCTCACAATTATGTACTTCAGAAACCACCTAAAACAAGGAATATGGATCAAAACTTAAGCAGACAAAAAGAAAAAAATAAAAGCATGTTTTGAGTCTTAAATAACATACATGTTTTCACACATTATCTGAAAAAAATCTGTTCAGCCACAAGCAGCTGGTCAGCTATCTAACATTTTAATAAATTAAAGTAAGCTAGAACTTTTTAACCCTAGTATTTAAAGAAAATGAACAATAAAGAAAATCCCGAATTTTAAAACTGTCAGTTGATACTGATACCAAAATATCAGCTTTGAGAGTAATTTTAAAGTTTTAGCAGCCTTCATTTATTCATTATGAGCTAATAAAATCAGGAACATTATCAGGACATCAGCAAAATTGCATTTTTAACATGAAAAATCACAGCAGATACTGATCACTAACATGACCAGTACACTGGACACAAGCCTAGACTCAAAATTTTTGAGCACAACATAAAAAATAGTTGATAAATGGGCACAAGAAAACCATAAAGCCTAATAAAATATGCATTTCCAAAAAGTTTAATTGTTTTAATTTTGGGCAAACCATGTCTACACACAAGCTGTCAAATATGAGTTTTCAAGTTAAGTCTTCTGTATTATAAAAGGAAACAAACAAGCCAGGGCTGCTACTCTTGTACTTTACTGTGTGCAAGACAATAAAAAACCAGTAATAAAACCCCTCCAAAACCATTTCACACATGCTCAAAACATCCTACCACCAAAGGTCAAGGACTTCTTCCTGTAACCACCAAGGAAACAAAGGGCAGTAGGACAAAAGCTGCACAGAAAGCTTGGATACTGGATGTGCAGGATATTCCACTGCTGATATCCAGTACAGGTCACAACACTAATTATGGTAGCCAATGTCTCACTAGGAAACTGTATACACAATATACTGCTTATCACACTGGGAGAAATGCCATTTGGGGAGAAGGCTAAAGAACACTCCAGAAGTGAGAATATTTGCTAAATAGGACATTGTCAGCTGGCAAAATTCTCATCTAATGGAGAATGCACAGTACTGAAGTATCTCTTCAACTCAATCACAGATGTTATTGTATAGCTCCTGACAACTGCTTGGTTAAAAAACATACTAACTCAAAGTTCTGCTATTTGTTATGGTTATTGGATTCAAAAAGCAGTGAGATACTAGAGAAGAACCTTGCTTCTTTTATGTCTTCCTAACTATTTTACTCCATCATTCCTGAACTCTCTCCTATATACCTGAAAATTCAAATACATACACATATATACACACACAATTCTAACACATGTTGCATGTAAGATATGTATTCATACAGGAAGACAGACATCTTACTCTGTATCTACAACAAAGACATCCTGTTCCTAGATGTCTTTACATACTCTCTTTTTAGCCCTTTGCTAGTTCCTTCTGTGTTGCCCTTTCTTACATACTATCACAGTACTCTTCCCTGTGTAATTCCCTTCTACACTGAGGCTTCATCTGCTGGATACCAAAGCTTTATACCAAGTGATTTGCCCCCATCATGAAACAGCAAACAAATACCCACCTCAACATAATTATAAAACAGAAATAATGCTTCAAAGGAGTGAAATGAAGTATTCCTCAAAAGGCAGCACTCAATTTTCTAGTCACTTGTTTAACAAAAAATCGCTCATAAAACCCCACACAAATCCAGATTTATGCATGCCTAATTCTCTCTAGACTCCTGCTTCTGTAGTCTGTATCACAGGTGAGACTACGATGCAGAGTTTGGTTTTCTTTTTTTTTTTTTTTTTGGTTGTTAATTTCAGTCTTTTTAAAGTAACAACAATACAAAAACCACCACGTAACAAAAGACTCCAGATATTTCCTACAAAAAGAGTTGTCTTGAAGAAAAATAAGTTCAGTAAGACCAACATCTGCATTTACTCACATAAAAGTCAGGGTTCTTTTGCAGAAAAAGTCCATTTTTTAATTGCAGATCAATTAACAACCAAATACTGGGTTTTGTCAAGTCTTCTTTTGCATGAAGTGCTGCAGCCTTTTTCCATTAGACTATGAAATGGCTGGAATGTGACTGAGCACTGTGAGATATACACATTAATCAAAAGACTGCCAGGGCAAAAGTATGCAACTGCAGGGGAGGATGTGCAGTCACAGCTTAACATGTTAGATTAGAAAACTAAGAAAAGAAAATAGATGATTTTTATCACCTTAAACAAAAAGTTAACAAGAGCAAACTTAAGAAGATAGGCTTTATTATATCTCAGCACCAATGTCTTTGTTCCCAAACTTTTCTATAGAGTAATCTGTATGCTGGTACTAGTACTTTAATGTTTCAAATATAACTTAAATCACAGAGCTAGGAAAAGTAGTTTTCGATAAAACAGTATTTCAGAAAGTTTATTTATAACATATTTATAAATAAGTTTTGGCCAAGGTATAAAAGCAAAAAACAGGTAGCTTTAAAAAAATCATCATCACTGTAGCCAGAAAGGGCTTACTTCGGAAAGGCTTACTTCCATGAAATGTCACTCATTTAACTAAATTAGCTGAATGAACCATAGGAAACCAAAGAAGTCTGCATTTTATGGAAGCATATTGCTGTGAAAAAGCCAGTAAATAATTATATGCACACGTGCTAGGTGCAGAGACTATTATTTCCATTTAAACAGCTGTTTAAATCATATACTGTTTTGATAGCAAACATGCCCTTTAGCATTCTTTTGGTTAAGTCTCCCGTTTTATTTTCATATATGAATTCCAACTTCTTTAATCTAGTCTGCCTTCTTTTATGATGATAAAAGCATTGAAGACTTGGCAAAGATCTGCCAAACTAGACAACAGCACTTACAAAACATTTTCCAAACTAAAAATACAGACACCTAGGTCAATATTGTTACTTAAAAGATGCATCTTCAGGAGAAGCTCTATGGATTAACACACACACACTCACACAGACAGACACAGATACAAAAGCAAAATTAAAAATAGTATTTTTAAAAATACCAAAGAAGGACAGTTAAACATCTCTGTCATTCAGTAGCAGCTGTCCAGTTTTATTTGGGGTTTTACTAATTAATCTCAGAGATTTGTGAATGTGACTATGCACTTTAAGTTGGACAGTAAAAGTGGAAAGAGGGAAGAACCAGATGCTGTGTTACAAATGTTATAAAGATTAACCCAGAAACTGGAAAATGGACACACTTAAGAGTAGAAGAAAATTTTGTAACAGTTCAAGTTACTGCAGAAGCACTTCACTGAATTTAAATTTTAACTCTGTTTTTGACAACACTAGTGACTGAATACAAATTCTTTAGACTATATAGGTTAAAAAACCAGTGCATTTTATTTAGAACTATTTTTTCCTATGTTTGCAACAATTCAACATCATAGCTGTGTATAATCAAAAGCACTACTCTTAATCACAGAATCACGTAGTGGGTAAGGTTGGAAGGGACCACAGTGGGTCATCTGGTCCAATCTTTCTGCTCAAACAGGGTCATCCTAAAGCACACTGCACAGGATTGCATCCAAACAGGTCTTGAGCATCTCCAGTGACGGAGGCTCCACAGCCTCTCTGAACAATTTGTTCCAGTGCTCGATCACCTGCACAGTGAAGAAGTTCTTCCTCATGTTCAGGTGGAACTTCCTGCCACCAGTTTTTGCCCATTGCCTCTACTCCTCCTGCTTGGCACCACCAAGAAGAGCCTGACTCCATCCTCTGACACCCTCCCTTCAGATACTGAATGTACTGATGAGGTCCCCTCTCAGTCATCTCTTCTTGAGGCTGAACAGGCCCAGCTCCCTCAGCCTTTCTCTAGAAGAGTTGCTCTCTTGTTGCACTTCACTGGACCTGCTCCAGTAGCTCCCTGTCTCTCTTGTCCTGAGGAGCCCAGAACTGGACACAGCTCTCCAGGTGAGGCTCACCAGGGCTGAGCAGAGGGGCAGGATCCCCTCCCTTGACCTGCTGGCCATGCTCTTCCTAAGGCAGGATCTCATTGGCCTTCTTGCCGACAAAGGCACTGCTGGCTCATGGAATGTTGAACTATAAATCCTCTCCTCTTAAATCTTAAGTTTACTGATCCAAATGACAAGACCCAAATTTTGATTACAGAAGTGGACCAAGTCACCCAGTAAGTTTTCTTCAAGATGCACCTCATACCATGCATTATTTCCTAATTCATCTCTTTCCACAGACACACACCTCCAAAATCTTCTTGTCCCCGATGTCTGGCATTTCTCTTCTTACACCCAGTATACAAAGAATCCTAGCTTCCATTCAATACCAATTTCCCATCTTCTATTCTTGCTGAGCCAAAACTAGTTTCCTCCTTCCACCTTTTCACAAACGCTTGGACAATTGCTCAGCTTCTCCCACAGCTAGTACCCTTCTGAACTCCCCACTGAGAGATTTTAAAACCTGCCCTTCATCACTACAGTGATTTCTTCCACTGTTATTTCTCCTGTTCAAACAGCTTCAGTCTAGACCAACTCCTTGCTAGTTCTCAAGTATGTCAGACTGATGTATGTTACTCACTTCTCAACCCTGCCAGCTTCCATGGGTAGCTGCTTTGCCCATTGCTTTGCACCAATCCTCCCTCCATGATCTCAGCACCTCCAGCATGAAACCTAGCCCCAGCTTTCTAATTGCAAGTCACACTGTCCTCCTTTCTCTAGCTTCAATTTCCAATTCCTTCAGCAGTCTTCACAGCTTTTGGCCACTATGGCTAAACAACTCCCAACTGAAGACACTGTTTTACTGTTTGACATCCTTTTTTGTATCTTCTGCTTTGTGTTCCCTCTAAGGAGAGAATTTTACAATCAAATACCTAACACTTCATAAAGTTAACTAGAGAATCTGCTTCTTACAAAGAGATCTCTCAGCTGACAAGCCTGCACTAAAAAAGGTACACCCTCCTTGTTTGTAACTGACCCTGCTCTCCACAGGAGGCTGAACAGGATGACTTCCTGATGACCCTTTCAATCTAAATTTTCCTAAAGAGGGATTTGTACAATAAGGATTACCAGAGGTTATAGACCAGAGACATGTCTTTAGCAGAGTTGCTGCTCAGGCACACAAATACTAGAGGTGAAATAAAGAAGAAATTAGCAATTTCATAGCTATTTCTCACTCTGTATTCTCAACTACCAGCCAACAAGAAAGAAAAAAAAAATCAAGGAATTTTGGTGCAACCCAGAAAAAAAGGCTGTCTTTTTAAAGCAATCTGGATCTCTGAACAGGTATGGATTTTGAAAACTGAACAGGACTTCCATGGATTCCCAGTGCATCTTCTTCACTCTAATGACACATATTTTATTTAAAATACTTATGTTTGAGGAAGAAAGGTTAGAAACTTTCTCTAAGCAACCATAATTAAAACAATGACAACTATGAAATGAAAAATTTCAGCATCCATTTCTTAAAAAATTATTAACATTACATTTTCATCAATGCCTAAACAGATTTTCATAATCAACACCAATACTTTAAGAGATGTATTGGTGCAATATTTTTATCAGGTAGTAATTGATAATGCAAGACACAATGGGAAAAAAGCACTAGCATGTTTCTCCCTGAAGTGTCAACAACCTTTTATTTTAAACGACAACTGTGTTTATTCATTCCTTATTCTGGTCTACAGTTCATCAAACACCTTAAAATTGGGTATTACTTACATGGTTTCCCCCAATCTTAAGAAGATAGAGACATTGACTTAATTAATTATCATCCACAAGGTATTTAACTGTTCCCCAGATGGATCAGTTTTGAAAAGTCACTTGCTAAGGCACATAGCCTGATGTTTGGCTAAATAATAATATCCCAAACCACCACAAATCTGAAGGACAAGAAGACTCTAAATTTATTTATGAAAAATTATCTAAATTAGGTTTCCAGTGACCTAAAAGAGCATTAATATCAAACAAATCTTTACTCCATTGACCTACTCACTGCATTTTACCTACCTAGTGTTTTCACAGTGTAATGAGGACTCTCCAAAACAATCCCTTCTTCTGTGTCAAATATTGGATTATCTATTCCAGTTTTAGGAGGAATTTGTGCTAGTTTCTTTAGCCTCATGGAAGCAGTAAGGTCCAGTTCTTGTTTCCTTCCCTCTTCTTCTCGTCTGCGCCTTATGTCCTCCTGTTGCTGGCGGATTCGCTCCAGTTGAGCACTGCGCCGCATGGGCATCATCCTGGAGCCCAAGTCCCCAGGGCAATCAACAGCCATTTCTCTGTGCTTCTGAGGCTCCTCAGGAGACACAAGATCCACATTTTTTGCTTCACTGTCAGAGTCTTCCGTGATATGTCCATTCATATGAGAAGTTGTCATGATTATTTGTAATTATGCTTATGCTCTTCAAACCAAAATGCTGCTATTAGGCCAGTTTGTGTTACGATGTTGTGTAAAATCCATTATAGATTCAAAAATATTTCCCTTCCATCACAAGACACTTGAAGAGGCATCCAGGAGGAAAATCTAATAACAGATATATTAAAAAAAAAAAAAAGAAAGAAATTAGTGAGTAATTGGACAAATAAGAAAACACCTAAGGTCCCCAGGCATCAGAACAATGGAACTTTGCATCCAAATTTACATAGTGGTTCTTCCCCTACTAAGAACTACAGAATCCTCACAAATCTGTTCCACATATTTTGGTGCCAATGCTTCAGGTGCCAATGTAAGAAAAGGAGCATTGTTCAAACATGAACAGTGTCAAAATAATGTCAAAATCTCTTTTATTCCCAAGTGAAAACCATGGTGATTCTGTACTTAACACAATTGCAAATAAGCAGTTTTCAGAGAGTTCTCACTCAAGTTTTAATTTGTACTTTCATTCTTAAAAATTCCAACACAAACCATGCTTACAATCCTGCAGACACTAAATATGAAAAACTTGTTATAAACAACATGTTCCTAAGTAGTTGAGTAGGCTGAACACAAGCAAAGATATTTGCATTTTTTGTTTATAAATTGAGGCATTTGATGTAAACATTGCTTCCTGGATTCAGAGAAGGCAGGCCTGACATAGAGTTAATCCAAAAGATACTATCTAAAGCAGACAGGAGCTGCACTTACACAATTACAAGTACAGATAAAGTCCTAGGATAAGGGTTTGGACAATTCTGTTTAGCAGCTACTCTTAATACTTCCCATAGGTATGCATTAAAGCAGGAAGGATTAAATACAAGACTTAAAATCCTTGTGTGGGAGTACAGACATACAGATTTGACAGAGAATAATAATTAATCTCCACAGTCAACTATGACATTCCACTATACTACACAGTAGTAGTGTGTAGTTATACTACTACCTTAACCTAGTTTCTTATTCCTGATGATTCAGGCTAAAGAGCTTAGGTGGCCTGATAAATATAACCACTCATCTCTTACATATAATACATGTGAGTGTGTGTTTTATACCACACTGCCTTTCTGTCAGTGATCGTTATCCACAATCTGTCCAATTAAAAGGTCATAAAATTAACAAACAGTTGCATACCATATCATCAATAGACTTAATTTTTCAAGTTACATTTTATCACTTTTTTAAAATTTACTGAAAGGACATAATACGAAATATCTCTAAGTTTTATTACACACCAGAAGCACCACGACAGAAAAAAAAAAAAAACCAGAAAACCAAAACCCAAAATCACCTACATTCTTATACCAAATGTTTGTGTTTGGAGGAGGAAGGGAAGGATGTTTATGCTGTAATTAAATTGAAAATTAAATATCTATAGCTCTGCTTGGGAGAAGCAGCAATAGAAACTCCTACACAAGTTTTTGCCAGCTTGCAATTCTAAAAATGTAGAGCTTTTCATTTTCATGAGGAGTAGTGCACAGCATACAGCAACAACAAAATTATTTCCCTTACTTGTTTCATCTCTAGCCCCTGCTACTAAAATAGTTATTACTAAAATCTTCCCGATAAGAAAATTAAATTAAAGCATTTCTGTGGCAGTAAAAATTCTTTTTGTGCCCTTATAAGGTACTTAATTGCACTCCACTGCTCAACATCCAATACTCGGCATTCACACATTCAGGAAAAAAACTAGGCAAAAAAAGCTGATCAAAACCTGCATGGTACTGGGGCTAGCACTGCAAGTACCCCACAATTACTCAGTGCCTGTAAATCCTTCAGTTAGTTCCCAACTCAGAACAGCTTTTCAAAGAATAAAGCAACACAAAATTAGCACTTAGACAGGGTTATATAAAACACCACTTTAAGAAAAAGTTCTGTGAAATTCAGAGAAAGGTGGATAAAAATTTAGCAAAATGATCCTCAGGAAGCTGCACTTCCCCTTCTGAAAAGGCAAATTATCTGAACAGAAATACCAATCCCCAAAAAGGAAGCCTCATTAGGAACAATACAATTGCAAAGACCACTATTTTAACTGTGGACTGAAGATAATACAAATTCTTTTAAATTCAAATTGTGTTGGCCATAGCTTGTCTGAACACTGAAACTTTTCAAAGCTACATTCATCTCTTTTCAGCTCTGACAAGCTGAAAGAAAACTCACATTCCTGAGTCTATAGGGTACAACCAACAGGTGCTAAAACAATGAATAAGGTGCTGTGGGGATGAATAATATCTATTTAATCAGCACTAAAAAAGTAAAAACAGGGTGTGAGGACCTGTAAGAAGTAAAACACAATTTTATACTCAATCATGTGTAAGCTAAATGATGTCACACTCTCTAGTGAATCTTAATCAGAAAGAATTATCAGAAAATTGAGTTGATGGCCAATGCTTAAAAGCTGGTCAAGAATATTTACAGTGGGATTAGCTACATATCCTCCATCAAATTTCAAGTGCCAGCTACAAAAATGGTCCACCAAAAACTCTTATCTGTATATAGAGTGAGAAGATTTTAAATCTCTTTAGTTTAATAATGTGAACTAAAGACAAGAGAAAAATAGAGTCTGGAGTAACAGGCAACCTTAGTAACACTGCTCACATTTCCAGTATAAACTGTGTGCAAGACACAAAGGGAATATAAATTCTTTGAACTGGGTACCAAGACATTCAAGTCACCTGTGATAACAGCTGCCTACTTTCAGTATTCAAGATCCGAGTCAAGCAAATAAAAAAGAAACTAAAGCTACAGAAAATCAGAGCTCTCTTGGCAGCCACACTTTAACAACAACAGTCAGAAAACCACAGTGACAATTTAAGAATTTTGTCATTTTATATAAAAAGTATTTCTGGTATCTCAGAAAGCTAGATACTTCTAAAACCAGCAATAAACAGTACAGCAAAAGAATAATGCTCAGATTATACAAAAGATGATACAATGGTACTATCAGGCAACCTAAAATTTGACCTTATGGAAACATCAAACCAAATACACAAAAGCTGACCCCAGATATAACTAGCTGGTAATCCATAAAAGCATAAGCGTGCTGCAAATCTGGAAGGCTGAACAACTTCCTTCAATCAAAGAACTTCTGATAATGGGTGACCCCTTCCAAAACTAAGCTCCTCTCCTTCCTGTTGCCTCAGGTCTGCATCAGACATCACAAATCCTGATCTCCAATTGTTTTGGAAAAAATGCTACTGCAATAAATGAAATAATCATGTAAGGAAAGAAAAAAAACACAATTATCTCTCAAGTCCCTCTCCACAATGGTCCTAAGGATGCAGAATGTAAAATATTAAACTGATAAAACCTTTAATTTGATTCTCAAATTAAGGTGTGGCATAGCTGAAATTAAAAATAAGATTCAGCTTAAGGGAGGTATTAGGAACAGAAAATTTTATTTTAACCAATATGCATGGCATCAAAAGTCAGAAGATGAATAAATTCAGAAACTATTCTGTTGGTTTTTCTTTCTGAAGTTTCCTTTTGCAATTTTAAAAATTCTGTGACAGCAACAGTAAGGGAAGGTTGTTACACCAAGTCTGTTCTCTGCAGATTGTGGATTATCCAATAAAACAAATCTTCAGTCCAAAAGAAACTTATTTTACCAAATTAATATTTAGTTCTATGGAGAAAAATTTGCAAACTTACTCAATAACAATAATTTTCACTATTTCATATGTACAATCCACATAATAACACTTGTAACTAAGAGAATTCCTTTCCACTTCAGAACTTGGTAGTAGCAGTTCCTATACTTTCTAGATATGTACAAGAGTCTGTTAGACAGCTTGATTGCCCAAAGTTTAACAGGGTTAAATCATGGCTTTGAACATCTTGCTTTGAACTGCCGATATCTAACTGGGGAATCTCAGTGTTGCCACATGACATGTAGAGCTTTCCAAAATAAACCAGATTTATGACTCTCTCAGTCCAACTTCGTATCACAAGTCTTACCAACACAGTCCTGGAGAGTGTATGTGAAAGTCTCTTCTTCACAGATTACATTTATTTTTGGCCTCCAGAGGAAGACTAGTAAAAACTGATAATGTTAGGAAAGCTGTTAAAAAACTGCACTTCATTCACTCTGGTCACCACTGGGCATCATATAAAACTCTGACTGGGATGCAATTATGAGCAGCAAACAAACCATATCTCTGATGCAATTTCGTAACAGAAAAATTAAAGAAAAAGCACAAGTACTGTATTGGTAACTATACTAACTATTCGCAAAAATACTGTATTTTACAAGCCACCATTCTTCATTCTTCACAATGTCAGGCTCCTACCATCTTTTTAAACATCCTGAATACACTAAATAAAGCACAGACCCCAAAAGCTCTGTAAAAGAATCAATATACATAAATGCAATCATCTTGGTGTGCAAGGCAGATGCTAGAATAAAATATATACTAACAGAGACTGAAATAGAAGCGCTCTAAGGTGGTTTAAGTTTTCACTTGCTTCCTGGGGACTGTGGCTGGTGTGCATAACAATCCTAATTGCTTTAACAACTAAATTCTGTACAGTAAAATTAAATTTGTTTTGCTTCAGCGACTTCCAAAGAGCAAAAATTACATCTTCTGGAGGCTGAGGTTGTATGTTACATTTCAGCAGTGTTTAAAATTCTTTCATTGCTAGAACTATGATTAGACCTGATCGTTCCCTTTTTAAAATTCATTAAAGCTGCAAATTCTGAATGACTGCAAGGAAGTTCAGTGCTTACCTCCAGTGAAATTTCATTAGTTTTGGCACAGATTAGAGTATAAAAGCCCAAACTACATTTGTAATTTTAATATAAACACAAGAAATAGATATTAAACATCAGCATAGTGCAAGGATTTATCATCAGCTTAAAGTCATATACTACAACAGACATGGCATATTAAAATATTAATTAAAAACAACTGGAAGATGAATTCTAGGTTGTTGAAGTGGATTAGAAATTAGATTAAAATCACATACAAGATGTTTCCTGATATCTGAACTACTAATAAAATATGATCATAAAACTATGCTAAGATCTCTGCCATGTATTATTAATGGCTCACATAAAAGTATGTCTTCTGGTATTTTTACTCAGTACTTCAGATTCTAGGCAAGCTAAACCTAA